CGCAGACCGACGGCCCGCTCCGGCAGCGCAACCGCTTCATGCTGCCCGCCTCGCTGACGGTGCTGGCGGCGCTGCTGTTGAATCACGTCGGGCTGTTCGTGCCGCTCGTGATGATGACGCGCAACTGCCTCATGCCCAAGAAGCCCGTCGCCATCGAGCCGAAGTACCCCGCCTGCCCCGCGGAGCTCCTCGAGGCCGAGGTGACCATCGTCGTCTCCGTCAAGGACGCGTGCTCGCAGGCGGACAAAATAACCTCCAACTCCCTCCGTCTCTAGAGCTCCCCTCTCAAGGACCACCTCTATACACATTCGAGGTGGCCTTCTCTTATGGAGGGGAGACCTAGAATCATCATCGCGTGCTCGCAGGCGCCCGGCTTCATCCGCTCGCTCGAGCGCTTCGCGCCCCCCGGCGTGCACCTCATCTACACCTTCCCAAACTTCGAGTCATGCGCAAACATCGACCTGAAGGGCGTGCTGGCGCGGTGGAAGAAGGTGACGCTGCTGCCGCTGCCGCTGCGCGTCTCGCCCATGCAGGGGTGGGTCGACGCGATCCCGCACATCAGGACAAAGTACTCGTACCTCGTCCACAACGACGGGTACGCCCTCGACTCCTTCTTCGGCTGCGAGCTGCTGCGCGGCCTCGAGGCGCACAAGCTGGTCAATTCGTCGTACGCGCTCGCCGCCCCGATGCTGTACGAGTCCAAGGCCGCCAGACTAGACACCTCCCCGACACCTCCCCGACACCTCCCCGACACCTCCCCGACACCTCCTAGCGATGCTGTATGAGTCCAAGGTGCCGAGATGTGGCCGAGATGTGAACAGACTTTGGTGTGAACAGGCGGACGGCTCGCTCGCCGCGCACGCCACGCAGACCAACCTGCGGCTGGTCAAGGACGGCTCGCCGCAGGGGATGACGGTGCACCACGACCACTCGCTCCGCCGCGCGCTCAACCGCGGGCAAGACTTCCAGGAGGGGCCCGCAGACCGAGTTCATATCTCCCCGTACCTCCCCATACCTCCCCACACCTCCCCACACCTCCCCACACCTCCCCACACCTCCCCAAATCTCCCCACATCTCCCCACATCTCCCCCTACCAGGAGGGCCCGCAGACCGAGTTCATCGAGGACCACGGCTTCCTCATCGAGAGCGACAAGATCAGCACCGTCATCGACCCGCGCGCCTCCTTCACGCTCGAGTACCTCGACATGATCATGACGATCCGCGCCCAGGGGGTGGAAGGTGCTCTTTCGTCCCCACCGCGCGGCTCGAGTTCCGCATCACCGAGTTCTCGTGGCGCGACATCCCGTACTTCATGTACAAGCGCTCCGAGGCGACCGCGCACGGCACGCGCGACTA